TGTGCATGCCTTTAAAATATTCAGGACTGAAGGAAAAAGAAGGATACAGAGAACAAATATGGCAGTGCTGGACATTTATTGATATATAAAATATTTATAGGAAGTGTATTTGTAGAGCTTGGCATTTTAGATCTCTACAAATATGTGTTTCCACTCTAAATGTCTTACATCTGTTTGCTTTAGGGTGTTACATTGTCCTGGTTTGTGGTGTCTTACCTGTGTTTAATGCTGCATAATTTCCATGAGAATAATTATGCAAATTAGTCACTTTAATGGTATCCTTAGGAAAAATCCAGGGCCCACCCACCCTGCTGTAGGAACGTGGTTGGGGAGAGACTGGAAATGGATAAATCCATCAACTCAGTGCACGTAGACTGAAGAGAAAGCATAAAAAAAAGAAAGCACCAAGCTTTCCAGCAGTCTAGAAAAATGCCAGCAATTAAAAAAGGAGAGAAATGGGAGGAGAAGAGCAACAGTGATGGTGGGAGGAATGAAAAGCTGCAGGCAAGTGGGGGTCAAGGTCCTGGAGCGCCTGTGTCGTAAAGAGTAAGTGGCAGGAATCTGTGAATTACAAGTCTAGAAATTAATTGCAGGCTTCTGGTGACATGGCAATAAACCACACTAATGAAGATTGAGTAGTTTATGGTTTTGTCAGAGCTCTGCAAAATTATATGGTTTTTTCAACTGCATAGATACTGGTGGGTTTATGTGAGTTGGTTGAATAAATTATACTAGCTAAGACTCTAGTGTAAAAACAGAAAGTGTTAGAAATGAACACAGGAATGTGATTCCATCTTAAATTTTTTTCCTTCTGGTTTTTCTTAGTCAAAGAAGCTTGTTTCTTGTTCCTTCAGCCATACTATCAATCCTGGTTCTTCATATCTTGGCCACTGAATTGTCTCTCTGTGTAGCTCTGGTGGTACTAACTCTACTGATAGTATCCCTTAAGATACTATTTTTTAAAAACCTCTTGATTAAAATGCTAATTATTGATGTTCCATAATTAGAGATGTTTTAATTGACAAATCAGCTCAAAGAATGTCCTGCTTTGGGGCCTGTCTGGTATGGAGACCCTGATATCATGTCCAGGTGGCCACAGAGCAAGAAGAGCCAAACACGCTCAGCCATCTGAGTGTTGTTGATAGGAAATGAAGCAGCTGAATTAATCAGGATACCTCATCAGTTATAATTTGGTCTGACCTGAACTGTATCAGGAACTTCTAGGAACCCTAAATGATGAAATAGATGGAAAACAAGGGACCAATCTGGAAGAGGAATAGAGAAGATGGAGCATGGGAACAGTGCTGGGGGGGGGTGGATGTTTATTGAACTGTAGGTGATTTAGTTCCAAGGCAGAAAAAATGCCTACAATCAAATTAAAAAAACTTGCAGTCCTGCTTTGACCTGGTTGGTTTGATGCAGTATACACAGGTTTTAAACAAAATGATGTCATTTTCTCCCAAGTGCTCTTACCTCATTGTGCACAGAATTTTGGAGGGCCCTCAGGATTCACCGGGAGTGTAGGATCCAAACGATGATGATCTCTAGGGCTTTGCCTTCATTTATTACCAAAGCTGGGAACTCTCTTGTCAATAAGGCAATAAAAGAGAGTTTTGTGGTTAAGATGATGAAATGCAGAAGCTGAAGAACTCAGTTTCATCTGTGTGGCTGCCACAGAATTCCGATGGGACGCGCGTTCGTTCGCTTCCACCGCACGTTCACGTGTTGCAACTGGTTTCCTTCTTTCCTGATTCCCAAAGAGCTGGTGAGATTTGATGTGCAAAACACCCACATTAGTGTGTTGAGTACTGCTTTAAATCATACCTAATGGACAAGGAAAAGTGGTACTTTTGCCCTGTCCCTGGTAGCTTGGTTAGTAGCACTTCTTAGTTTCCAACTTCTAAAAACGTTGGGGGATCCAGTGGAAGTTGTAGAAATAGGAGTGGGGGGGGTGGGAGAATCCAAAACACTGAGAAATGAATAATTTTGTTTGCAGAGATAAGCTTGGAAACTAGAAAGCATGAAGCCATGGACAAAAGAGGAAGCTTGAAATTAAATCCTGGCTTGCTCTTGCAGCAAGAAGGTTCCTCCTCCTGGAGCGCACGGAGTGTGATTGTGGAATGGAGGAGCACGTGATAATCCTTGCAAACCTGGGGCCTGATTTAGGGATGTGAGGGCAGCCTGAGTTCTAATGGTTCTTAGCTTCTGTGCAATTTCTTTGCTTATCTTCACCTTTCTTTTAATTTAGAGGATTATTTTGTATTTAATATTACGGCTTTATAGATATTAGAATCACGTGCTGGGAATGATGGCTGAAGAAATAGAATTGGATTTTCTGTCTGAAATGATAAGTCGTGGTTGGTACTTAGAAATTCATCTCTTCTGGCTTCCTGGCAACTCTGAATATTCAAAACAGAGACTTATTCCCCCCCCAAAATGGCCCAAATGGACGTGGGCTGGTGAGTTTTTGCGTGTGGTTTTAGGTAGGATGTGGGGGGAGCTCATTAGAGAGGTGATGCCATTAGCAGTTTTCCTCCAATTGCTAATTTCCATCATCCTAGTATTACAATAATGATGAAATGGAATTAAATTAGCATATCATATAGCATACTGAAAAACTGTGAATACATTAGAGTAACACAAGGCAACTGATAATTGCTGGCTTAATAAGAATTCATTTTCAGCAAGGATAATTCAACCTTTTTCTTCTTCCCATCACTAGGGACAGATTTCCTGGTTATTGATTATCTCCTCATCTTCTATAAACCCAGTCAGAAGTTCTTCTTGGTTAGATGAAAATGTCTCCACTTTTAATTTGGTGTCATTTATCAGTGAAGCTGTTTTATACCCGTGTGTGCCTGTGCATATGTTGACTTGCAGGACCTTGGTTTTCTCTGCACTTGGCATCTGGTCCTTGGAAATGAATGAGTTTTTATTACCTCAAAACTCACTTAGTAAGAATTATATATATTTTGTTCTACATAAATCTTCCACATTTTTCATTTGGCAAATAGAACTTAGCATCAACAGTTTATTTTATAGGATAAATGCCTTCCCTAGCATTTCATTTTGAATAGGCTCAGCCTGAAAGACACTCAATTGCATATGTTTTCTATTTATGTCGAATATTATTCAAGCTTATTGAAGTGATTAACTTGCTAAGCCTCAATTTATATCCACTCCTTGCCACTTTGATTTTTTTTCCTCCTCTTTTTTACAGTTCCACCCTGGTTTTTAATTCGTCCCTCCAACGTTTATGCCTACGAAAGTATGGATATTGAGTTTGAATGTGCTGTGGCTGGGAAGCCTGTTCCTACAGTGGAGTGGATCAAGAATGGAGAAGTGGTCATTCCAAGTGACTACTTTCAGATAGTGGTAAATATCTGCCTTTTTCTTACTCATTCTATTTTACCAAGAGATGAAATGTGTTTGGGTATTGGGCCCAGTCGTTGCCTTCACCAACCTATTTGCCTTCCTGAAGAGTTACAGCTTTGCCAAGAGAATTGTTGGACACACTGCCCAAAATAACACCCCCTTCTTCTCTGAATTTTGATGTCACTGTTACATGGGCTGGGAATTTCTGCTGTGTCTTCTGAAAAGGGTTGAAAAGAGTGGCAGTTGTACTGAGCTGAGATGGTGGGAAACACCCCTGGAAACTTCAGGCACTTGAAATGTGTCCACATGGTGTATCTTGCTCAGAGACATGGCTTGATCCATGTCTGATTTTTCACCTTGTATCCAATAATCATTAATTTCATTGTGCCTTTTAATTACCTGCCCAGAAAAAAACCCCACAGCCAAATAGTTCTTTACTGTAGCTTTCGTGCAGGGTGGACAATAGGAAATTCCACCTTGGTCTTTTTTTATATATTAGAAAGCAGCCAGAAGCTGTCCAAGGAAAGGACAGGTCTGCTGCCCATGTGGTTGTGTGGTGAAGGTGTTGGAGATTTATTTTGCTTATTAAGTTAAGAGAAGATACATTTCAGTCAGAGCACACCTCTCACTGGAGGTATTTTACCCAACATAATTGGTTTCTGCTTGTGCTAACAGAACTGGAAAGATAAATCTGCTTCAAATGAAGTAGGAGTGGAGTGACCTTTTCATGAGGATCTCCAGGCCTCAAGCCATCCAGGAGGGTTTGACCTTCAGAACAGTATTTGTTCCAAGATGCAGAGTTGAAAGTTCTTTGCCATCTTCCCCGAGGCAAAGAGCCCAGACAAAATGCTGAGCAGCACTTGAGTGGTGCCTGTGATTTGGGGTCAAGAAAGGTGGTGGGTGGACTCTGCAAGCAAGTAAATTGTCCCTCGGGCTGTAGGCACCATCAAACAAACCTCAAAGACCACGAGGTGTCAAGAGATTCCTGATGATGGTTCCATCCCTGTAAGCATTTGTTTGAGCCAAGGCTGAGATGACATCTGTGGCACCTTGTTGCACAAAATAGCTGCTCAGGAAAGGTTTTATAATCCACGTTGACTTTGGATGGTGTTTTTCTAATTAATTCTCTCCACTTCCCTGCTTTCTCTTTTGCTCTCTCTAGGGTGGCAGCAACTTAAGGATTCTGGGCTTGGTAAAGTCAGATGAAGGTTTTTATCAGTGTGTAGCTGAAAATGAAGCTGGAAACTCACAGGCCAGTGCACAGCTAATCATCCCGGAGCCTGGTAAGATGCAAAGGACATAGAAAATTGTAGATGTAATTAATGCTATTAACATAAAATCCCAAATGAGCAGCTACAGTTTCTTTACTCCCTCTTCCTCATCCAGCTGGCTGGCTGCAGTTAAAAGCTTGGCCAGGCTAGGAGAGGCTTGGAGGCATTTTGTTCACTGGGTAAATGTCCTAGGAATGATTGGAGGCCAACTAAACCTGCCTGAAAAGCCAACAGGAATGGCTCACTATCTCTTGGTGGGCTTTCTTCTGCTGAATTGTAAGGAGGAGATCATAAATGGGTGAGATGATGGAATCAAATACCTCAGAAGCAACAGTGAATTATACCCTGCTTGGTTTAGCATTAAGCTGTTGTGGAACGTTTGTCTTGGAGAGAGGGAACAGTTTGGCAGTGGGACCTCAAGTCCAACCAACCACTGAAGACCAGAAGGTTTGTGTCTGTGTGCTTAAAGGATGATTAGGTATTTGGTTGCTCTGAAGTGAAGAGATGTTTGGTTTTGTGGGCTGCACTGTGCAGCAGCATAGGTGGTCACTGCTTGTTGGGTTTTTAAGTAGCAGGTTTCTTCATCTTAAGGTGGTTGATCTGTGGAACGTGGGTATGAAAACATGGTTAAAAGTCTTGCAGAGTTTTTGGCTTGTAAATGATGAATGGCCTGCCCTGGGACTGGACTTGCACTTACTACTGCTCAGGGATCATGCCAAGAAGAGGAGGGCAGGAGGACATGCTGAAGTGCTGCTTGATCTCTGGTTTGGACTGGGAAGAGCAGAAACTCAGTAACCCACAAACATACTAATTCCATACAGCCCTACTAAGATCAGTTAACCAGCTCCTACCATAGAGTTTCTTTGGGAGATTCTTTGACAAGTTTCCATGCAGCATCAGTGTGAAGTTCTAAAGCTTTGCCAAGGATCTGGCCCTCTGGAAATGGAGAAGTATGGCCATGGTCCATGTTCTTGTCAGCTGCACTAGTCTGACACTTAAGGAGGCATCTCTGGATGCTGAGATCCATCCAAGTTGAGCCTTGTAAGCTGTTGTCTTGTGAGCACTGTTACCCAGAGAGGTTCCAGGCAGTGTGGTGGGAGGTGACAGTCCCATGTGGTCCTAGCTGAGATCAGCTGGTAGCCAAAAGTGAGGAGTAAGCACCACTGGAAGCCTCAGATCCCCAGTTTGCAGCATCCCCTCTGTGCAAATACTTACTGTAAAGGAAAATGGGAATAGGGTTAAGGTTTCTCCCTTAGGAGAACCTTCTCCCTAAGGTTTTTCTGCCTTGGTCCTCAAGAAATGGCTGAGTGTAGGTTTTGCACCTCTATGAAGGTTGTGCCTCCCTCTTCTTCCTTCCTGCCATTCAGCATCTCCTTTAGGAGCCTCTTTCTTCTCTCTCCACTGCCTGAAAGCAACTCCAGTAGCAACTGGGGGCTCATCAGAGCCTTCTCAGCCCCTCTCTCCTGAGATGCTCATGGTGCAGGTGTTTTGCAGCCACGAAATGAAGCAGCTTCGTGGGAGATCCAGGAGGGGGTAAATAGAGGAGAAATAGAACATCCAGAGAGTTGTCCTTGTCATCATCCTCCTAGCGTGACCTCCAGCCAGGGCTCCCTCCTCACCATTCTCTGTGGTGCTAATTGGCTAACAGAAGTGGATGGTTGGCTGTTAGGATCAAGAAGCAGATAGTTTTGAAGTTCCCACTTGGATATGTGAAGGGTAGGACCCCATCAGAGGAGCATTTCCTGCTCTGCAGTCACTGGAGGTGATGATGAGGTTACGTTCCCCGAGGGACCAATGTGAAAATGAGACAGCACTTGCAAATGAGATTTCTCTGGCAGAAGGAACGTCCATGTGATGCTGAGAAAGGCTGGCAGGAGTCACCATCCTGCTCAGAAACAACCTCTTCCACTTCAGGTCTTCACTGTGGGGACATGTGCAGTCATCCTGCCTTTGGGTTTGGTTTTCCTTCTGCTTTCTTGTAACTGAACCTGCTCATGGCAGGGGGCTTGGACCTACATCATACTGAAGGTCCCTTCCAACCCAAGCCATTCTGGGATCCTATGATTCAGTTTGTGCTTTTTGGGCTTTGTTTTAGATGCATGAACAACTGTAGGAAACAGACCATATCCTGCTGTAGAGGGGTTTGGTCTGGTGGTAGGACCATCCAGAGAGAAACTGGGCACCTCTTTGCTGCTCCTGGCAAGTGAAATGTTGCCAGGAAACTCCATGCCCTGTGCTGATGGTTCTTCTGCTTGGCATTGGACTAAAATGAAAAAGAAAATGACAAGAAAACCCTAAAGAGCTGTGAGCCAGCATTGTCAACTGTCTCCATTTCCCTTTTTAAGTGATGGATTACTTGTTTCTGGTTATTTAATCAGCTCTTCAAACAATGCTGCTCCAGTTCCTCTGAGGTGAAGGGAGGGCCAGGGTGCACAGATGGTGGAGAAGCCAGCTAGAAATACAAATGAAGTGGAGGGGCTGATGGTGGCAGGAGGAATGAAGCCCCCTCTGCTTTGATTTTTGGTGGGCCACGGGGCAGGTGAGGACCCAGCAGAGCCCACAGTTGCTTTTGATGTGTTTTTATGAACCTAGTGAAGTTTTGATATGGAATCACAGGATGATTTGGCTTGCAAGGGATCTTCAAGATCATCTAGATCCAACTCCCCTGCATGGGCAGGGACACCTCCCACCAGCCCAGGCTGCTCCAAGCCCCATCCAACCTGCCCTTCAACACTGCCAGGGATGGGGCAGCCACAGCTTCCCTGGGCAACCTGGGCCAGGCTCTCACCACCCTCACAACAAAGAATTTCTTCCTCATGTCTCATCTCAATCTCCCCTCTTCCAGTTTTAATCCATTCCCTCTGGTCCCATCCCTCCCTGCCCTTGTCCCAAGCCCCTCCCCAGCTTTCCTGGAGCCCCTTCAGGCACTGGAAGGTGCTCTAAGGTCTCCCTGGAGCTTTCCCTTCTCCAGGCTGAACACCCCAAGTGTCTCACTTGACCATGAAGAGCTGGACATTTCACCCCTGGCTTCTAACTTCACCTGCCACTTCGCAAGCCAGAGAGAGCTTAATTTTCACGTTAACTCCTTTCTGTCTCATCCATTTCCTCCTTTTATGGGTGCTCATTTTCCCCCCTAAACATGCCAGTTGCCTTTAGAAGCCTGAGATGAAGTTACACTGCAGAGTTCAGGAGTAATAAGGTCAGGAGATGCATTGTCTGCAGCCCTGAGCGCTGATGGGTTTTTCCACGGTGTGTACCTTGTCACCTTCCCAGCAGAAACCTATTTGCTGAGCTGCCATTTGATCAACGATAAGAAAGGGGAAGGAGCAGCTGAATGTGTTTGCTTTATGGGCAAACAGCAAATTAATCTTTGGGCATATTTGTCAGGGATAGGAATTTTCTGTCTCTTCTCCCTGGGGGAAAGAATTAGGGAAAACAACCCCCAAATCTGTTCACTTGCGTGTGGTTCTATTTAGGAACCACATTAGATTAGTTCATATATTATTATAGGTAAAATATGAGTTTGATAGAGTCATTTGGGTTGGAAAAGAGCTTTAAGATCATCAAGCCAGCACTGCCAAGGCCACCACTAAACCACATCCCTTTTTAATTGACATTTCGGGCCCGTCGTAACGGGCAACACGTGGAGCATGTGCACAAGATGTACAAAAATGTGGTGCAAATATCACTCTGAAGACCAAAATACATGGATTGAATCAGCACCCGTGGCTCAAACAAGAAAATATGGTGAGCTTTGCTACCCACGTGTGCTCTCCTGTGTGCAAAAGTGAGTGTTTCTGTGTTGCAAAAGATGAGCCTGGGAGAGAATTAGAAGAGGAAGAGCAAACTTTGGCTCTTTGCCACCTGGAAAGGAATCCACTTAATTCACCCTGACTATCCTTGTTACAGTGTTAACTATAGACTAAATAGTTTAATATGGATTTAAGTAATGAGCTCACAAATTGATTCTGCAGCACAAGCTCTGTTTAGAGTTTAGGAGCAGTTAGTCTCTTGTTAAGATCCAAGCAGTGCTCCTGCCTTCTGACATTTCCAAGCACAGCTTGAGGGCAAAGATGAGGATTTTTCCCCACCCCCTCCTCTTTCCTTCCTTTGTTTCTGATGTTGATTCTGACCTATTAGGACTTTTTCTGTTTGGATGTTAATTCACACCTGTGGGATCAGAGAGTCACAAGGGGGGGAGGATTAAATAAAAAAGCCACACACACACACACCAAAAAAAAGCCTTGTGCAAATTCCTGAGGGAAGGAAGCAGGCACATTTTCTCTAGGAATGCAAATGTCTTATCAGAGTGACAGGAAAAAACCCAACAAAGCAGGTTTCTCATATTCTCCCCCTTCCTCTCCTCCATCCCTTCCTTCTATTCCCCCACCTGCCATTGAGGAATAATTTCACGCCCCTCGTTCCAGCATTAATTATTGAACTGGAGTGCTTTGCTAATCACTTGCAGAATGAAATTTCTTGGAAGTTGAGGAGATGAATCCCTGAGATATGGTGCATCTTTCATCCCACCCCTTCCCCTTGTCTGGCTGCGTGGCCTGGGTGAGATGTAATTGTAATTGGTGTCTGGGTCGGGATGACAGTGTCAGCCTATCATTTCAGGGTTTAGAGCTGTGCTTTGGGTAGCCAGATTTGTAATTATAATGTGCTTTTGCTCTTATTTATATGCAGCAGCATTCCTGGCTTTCCCTGGGAGGGGAAGGTTGGGCTGGGGAGGGGCAGCTTGAAAACCAGAGCCATTATTTGTTCAGAAAACACCCTGATTCTCCGAGGGATAAAGGAGCAAGGTGAGCAGCCAGCAAGAGGAACCATTTGCTGGCCTGGAGAACAGCCTCTGAAATGGGGCTTGTCAAATGGAAATATAAATGTGCTGGCCCCTCCAGCAGGAAAATTCTTGGCAGGGAGAGCTGGGATGGTGATATCTGTGCTGGGAGCCAGTGCTGTGACCCCCCCCCCAAGGCTGCCAGGCAGAGGATTTCTCTTGCAATGGCCTG